ACTGGATCTGAAATGAAGTGCCTTTAAGAGAGGATGTGCGGCTTAAATCCAGCGGGAAGCCAGGGCCCCTGAAAAGGAGTCTTTAGGAAAATTTCCYTCATTAAACAGTCTTTAGGAGGCTTGAGCTTAAATATAACAGTCCTTTATTGATGAACAAACAGGAATTGTAAAGTTTGCTTGGTAAAGAAACCAGTTCTCTCAAACTTGTCCACAGGGAACAGGCACTATCTTCAATAACTTTGTTCAAAGGAAAATTCCCCTTTTYTARCTCCTCCCAGGCTACTGTGAACCTAAACCTGACTGATYTGAATCCACTACCGGCTGAACTGCRTCTCAGAACCRAGCAGACRTACCAGCAGGCCTGTAGTCACTTAGCTGGAGATCTTGATGATTAGAGCTGTTATTCCCTCCGGAATTCCTCAGGGCTGTAAGGCTGTTTCCCCGGAACCTTTGGGAATCTTTAGAGGCTTAAGACTGTTCTCCTCCGGGAAGTCTTAAGAGATGAAGCCTTTGTACAGGAGGACGTCTGTACACATCCTCTGCATTGACTTCCTTTGCTGAGACTAACTGAAAAACGGCCCCTTCCCTCCAAAAAATCCAGAGAGGGGCGGGACCAGGGATCCTAACTATAATTGACAGGTGGCTTTCCCTATGAATGTAGTCAAAGGAAGCCACCTATCTGCAAAGTCCCTGAAACTTAGGACTATGAACAAACACTCAGTGCAAAACACAAAATTGGAGCCCTTGGAACAGCCGTTCCAGAACAATTGTGATATGACCTAAGGGCTAATCAATAAAATTATTATTATTATTATTATTATTATTATTATTATTATTATTATATCACTCATGCTATGTACGCAAGACTCAAAATCATCAGAATTTGGAAAAAAATACAGATTTGATCAATAAAGAATTGGTTAAATAGGAAATGCTATAGCACTATCAGAAAAGTTAACCTTTGTATCAAGATACAGAAGTGGGAATAGTCAATGTAACAAAGAAAATGTAATTTTTAAAGTATTAAATAAATAAATAAATAAATAAAATTAAGCAAGCTGAGGACAAAAAGGGAGTGGGAGGAAGCAAGAATAACCGGGACATTGTGGTGACAGAAGATTAATTAAGTCTGTTTCTGACAAATTAAGACAGTTGTAGAGTGTGACACACACAGAGACACAGCTATGCAAATAATGTTTTGTTCCATTAGTCTTGTAAGTTCCCAAATCCTAGTATTGTGACCAGGAATCACAATAACACTGGAATAGGTAAGGAAGTTTTGTGAAATTAAAAATGTATAATTATATTACAATTTCACTCTCTCTCACTCACACACAAACACACTTTTCTTCACTCATACTCTGAGAGGTCCAGAGCTAGGAGCACCTTTTTGTTTTGTTTGGGATCAACCGAAATGCCTAACACTGTATTTATGGCATTTTAGTTGTTCCTGGTAAAGTTATTGCCAGCCTTATATGTAGATTTTTACCTCCATCACCTTTTCTGGTCTAACACAGTTCTCTTGGTTTCTTTGGTGTCTCCTGAAATACACTCACATTCCAAACATTCTAGAACACACTCTTCAAGGGATAAGCCATCATTTACCAATTAGTTCCCATAAAGTGGCACTCCCTTTAGTCACGATGGATCATTAATAGGTCTTCTTCACAGACTAATTAAGGTTGCCCAGTTAATCTCAGAAATGTAGTATGCAATTGGAGAGTATCATGTAGGACAGGCCTGGCTTTTACAAACTGTGTCTAAATTGGGTTGCTGTGGGTTTTTGGGGCTGTATGGCCATGTTGCAATGCACTCTATGTGGGGCTACCCTTGAAGACAGCCTGGAAATTACAACTTGTCCAACGGTCGGCAGCCAGATTAATAACTGGGACGACATACAGGGAACGGTCAACCCCCTGATCAAGGAGTTCCATTGGCTGCCGTTCATTTTCCGGTCCCAATTCAAGGTACAGGTTCTTACCTATAAAGCCCTAAACGGTTTGGGACCCGCCTACCTTCGTGATCGTATCTCTCTTCACGAACCAGCCCAAACTCTTCGATCTTCGGCGGAGACTCTCCTTTCGCCCTTGCCAGTTTCTCAGGTTCACCTTGTGGGTACCCTTTTCCTCTGTGGCTCCCCGACTCTAGAACTCATTGCCTGGAGAGATTAGGAAAGCCCCTATTTTAGAAACTCTGCTGTCACACGCTGGGTCTGTGGAAGAGTCTGTAGACAGGACGTGTTTTCTGAATGCCCAACGGG